TAAGTTGAGAAGTGTTAAATCAAAGTACATGTACATTTTTTAGGCCATTGATCAATATTGCTAAATTGCTTTTAGGGGGAAGTTACAAGGTATGCGGGTACTCTTTTCCAGGCCCTCTCACCAATCTTGGGTGGTATAATTTTTTTTAAAGTCTTCCAAGCATCCCACTTAAAATATTTTCAACTTTGGCACAATCCAAAGCTGTTTTGTGTCTTGCTTTGGGAATACAGATCTAATAGCTTTTCTGGCATAGTGTTTTAATTAGATCCTGGTCCACTGTGAGCGGCAGATATATTCTTATACCAGAGAAATCATGAAAGACACATACATTTACAAGGAGAAAACTATGTGATTACAAAAGAAAATATTCTGGCGGAAAAAGAAATAGGATGCCCTTTGAAATTGTTTTCAGAAGAAAATAGACTCATCTTCAGTTTGATTTCGTTTTCTTTAGCACCCATTCCCAAGGAGTCCATTTGTAACTTTAAGACTTTGGGGTCAAATACCAATTTAAAAACCTGAACAGGTCTGACACTCTTTTGGTGACTACCTTAGCACAAAGACAGGGAAACACAGGAACACCCCACGCTCTTCTCTCTTGCTCTGCTCCTCAAAAGACGAAGCACCTGTTCAGAAGGTTCATCTCTAAGAAGCTCTTGTCTTTTGTGGATCTGGTTTGCCAGAGCATGTAATCTGCCACATGGAGCTCAGGCCAGCAAAGGCACTGGCCCATTTCCAGCAATTATCTGACAAATTATATTTCAACCACTAAATCTCCAGTTTTAATCAACTTGCAAATTCCAATCACTCCAGCAGTGAGCAATCACAGTTAGGTCTGACAGGAGCAGTGATTGTGTCTGCAACCCCAGAAGACCTCTCTCCATCAGCTATCCCTTGGAAATCTCTGGGGGTCTCACTGTCTCCCATTAAATTTCACTCTTTTCCTATAAGAAATATGAATGAAGAAGGAAATGATGCCCAGGTACTGGAAGGGCTGCTAACTTGGGGCCAACTGATGTTGTGCCCCTCCGGCTGGAGCTTGTCGAAGGGAAATAAGTACCCAGAAAACAGGTGTATATTTTGTTCTTTAGCATCATCTCCTGCCTGTCTTGACCAGATCTTTTTCTCCCAGCACTCCAGCAGTGATACTACTGTGCCAGCCATCTGAGGGTAAGTGGTTCCTTCAGGAATTTGGATTTGGTGCCAGCAACTATTTCAGGGTGACATGTACCCAGAGTTCCTAGTTTAACCCCAGCAGGTCAGCCTTTTGGGCACTGCCAAAAGCTGCCAATTCACCCAGCAAAAAAACCCAATGGCAGAGCCTTGGGTGCCCGGCAGAGGTCCAGGTTGTATATTGCAATAAGTAGAGTAGATCAGCTCTTAACATGGCATGTAAAGCTCATTCATTCTGAACATCTGCATGTTAAAAATCACATACCAAGAATTGTTTTCCTTCGTAGATGAATCTAGGAAAGAATACCACAGAACTTACCACTTTATATTATGAGTTAAAAATAAATAACCTATTTCTGCTTTTTTTTTAAGTGTTGAGATAGAAGGGAGAGGATAGAGGTAGCCAAAATTTGCCTTTAAAAAATGAGACCTACCTCCTAAAACTGCCAGCAGAGTTATTCCAAAACACTGTGTTGAAAATTAATTCTCTCTGTAGAAATAGTAATCAAATGCTAACCAATTTACACTTTTAAAGATAGCTAATATTATGTCCTAATTGAACACAACAGAAAAAGACCACAGGCATTTTTTCAGTTGGGTCAGAAATTAGGAAGTTAGTTGTGCCAACACTACTGTCAAGCACACCTGTCAACAATTTAGCGTCTCCCGCTTCATGCTTCTCTGAACAGCAGGAAATGTTCAGCATTGTCACAAAGCTGCTTTCCTGTGCTCTGCTACGCAAGCATCTTCCACCTGCATTATTTTTCAGGGCTTTTCCCCCCATCTTGCAAAAAAGAAAGAAATTGCACCTACCTGTTCCTCTATCTACAAAGATTCCTTCCATAGTTTGTTATTGTTAAATAAAGTCCTGATTCCTCTTAATCAAACTTAAGCTTTATGCCTGAGAACACATGCATGGTGTTTTTGCGTGAGTTGCATAGTCTTCAACATTGAGAAATAGTATCAGGCAACAGTTATTACTACATGCTTTGATATTGGTGAAATGCATGCCACAGGCCAGGGGAAACTGGCCCTGCCCATGCTCCCTAGTAAGCCAGAAGAGTCTCTGCCCACCAGAGTGGTCCTTATCCAATAACCAGGAATATGGAATTCTAAGGTCAAGATAACTCTGAGACAAAATTGTCAAGGGCGGGGGCGGGGGGGGGGGGAAGGACACATATATAATACCCTTTGTAATACTTTAAGCAATAAATAAATAAATAAATAAATAAATAAATAAATAAATTCAGATTTCCCCAATGGGATCGGGCTAGAGAGACCCATAGGGTTTTGCTTGAAATCTTACCCCTATTGAGTTTCTTCTTATTTCCATTATCTTTTGCTGCTTAACACACTACCCTAAAACCAGTTATCTATTGTGTAAAAAACTACTGCAAACTTCAATTATCTATTGCTGCATAACAAACTACCCCAATGCTTAAAACAGTGATTGTGGGGTGGGGGTGGGGGAGTGTTTTTTGTTTGTTTGTTTTGGTTTTTCCCCTGGCCAGTGTGAGTTAGTTGGTTGGAGCATCATCCTGTATACCAAAAGGTGGTGTGTTCAATTCCCGGTTAGGAAAACAGCAAAAACAAAACCAATGACTCTTTTATTTGCTCATCGTTTTCCTGGTCAGGAATTCAGACAAGGCCTGATAGGGATGTCTGTCCGTGATGTTTAGGGACCTCAGCTGGGATTGCTCAAGTGATTGGGGAACTGGCTGGGATGGCTTGACTGGTGTCATATGACGCTGTCCTCTGGGTTCCTCAGTTCTCCCTGTGACCTCTCCAAGTCACTAGCTTGGCTTTCTTCACAGCTTGGTGATCTCAGGGTGGCTGAGTTTCTTACATGACAGCCAGCTAGAAGAAGCTGCTAGAGACCCCATAAAAGATATGCCTGGCATTGTCTCAGCACCATTTCCACCATGTCTATTGTCAGAGGCAGGTTAGAAGGCCAATTCTGACAAGGGGGAGATGGATCGCATCTTGGCCAGTGGAGTGTCATGTGCAAACAGAAAGGGAAGGAATGGAAAGCAGCCACTTTGGGAGACCAGCTATCATACCCACCCCCACAACCACTTCCTTACCCCATACTCACCCCTACTCCGCCTACTCCCTCACAGGTTTCTCCTGCGAGAACTAATTGAAACCACTTGTACCTGAACACTCATTCACCATCTGCCTCAGGGGAACCTGACCTAAGACACAGGTTATCCCAATCCAAAGGTTCCAGCCTCTTCTTCCAAGGACGGTTACTACCACGGGCCAAACCCAAGTCTCCATCCTGACACTTGCAAAACCCTCAGGGAAAGCAGTGTAGCTCTAAGTCAGGGGACCCCAATTTTGCCTGCTCATCATAAATACCTAGGAACGTTTTTTAAAAAAATTGTCCAGGTCTCTTACAAAACCCAGAGATTCTGAATTAATTGGGTGGATGGGACCTACACGTGGGTATTTGGGGTTGTTTGCTTTTTTAATTTCCCCTAGAATTTCTAATGTGCAGCTCAGGCAGAGAACCACTGTTCTAAGTAGTTCAAGCTACGTATGTTCACACTGAGTGTGTGTGGAGAGAGGTGTCCTGTGAAGAAGAGAGAAAAAATAATAACCCTTGATCAAATCACCTCTTGCCTTGGAAACAAAAATCTTATCACTGCCATCAAATAATGTTGGTTGCTAATCTGCTTTCCAAATCCAGTTGCTCTGTGTTCCAGTCTAGGAGTGGCGTGGGCCGCTGTACATGTCTTCCAATGCTATTTATTAAGCTTCTAGGGTGATAGCTGCCTATTAAATTTTCATAGTCTAAAAGATATTGCAGAGTATAAAGTATCAGCAGGCACTTTTCCTGGCTAATTCCACAATAAATAGGACAGTTCTCTTTTTTCTTTTCTTGCTGAACCTGTTGCTCCTTAAATGATACAGAGGAGACACTGTCCTTTCTGTGGTTATATTTTCTTCTTAAACTTTTACCCTTATTCCTAATTCTCAATTTGGTTGCTATCATCACTGGCTTTTATCCTAGAAAACTTTGCTTTTTTAATCAGCAAGATAGGGATCAATGCAATACAAAATATGTGCTAACACAGAACTGGATTCTGCTGTTCCACGCATGGGTGCCAAGTGTAACAATCACCTGCTAACACTGTTGGGAAGAAACTTGAACTCATCCCAGAACTTGAGCTTCCTCTTTCATGGGAATCAGCAATCTTGAAATAATCGAACTTCAACATGGCACTTCCCCTTTTCCCCAGGAATTTTAACATCTATGAAATGAGATGGCGTATCATTGTTAAAGTTTAATTGGCTTTTTTTTTCTTTCACAGTCGTACAAAAAGTAATAGTGCACCTTAAAACTGATAAAGTCTTAGTTTAGATGAAATATAGCAATCCATATTTCATGTAGCCCATTATGGACCCTTCCTGGAATGAACAGCTATCCCCAAAGCGTGGAGTGCTATTTGCAGGCATGTGTAGACGCATACAAGGTGCCCCCACAAAAATGTATACACACACTTGGAATAATTATAAAGGCAGTGTTAATTAAACTACATTTCCTTCTCAAAGTTGGGCTATCAGCTGTTAAAGTGTGTCATCATAAGAGGGATGCAGAAGGCTCAGAGTCAGAGAGGATGGAGGTGTAGGCCAGGGAGGAGAGAATGTGGTGCCGCCGGCCTTAAGGAAGGAAGAAGGGGCTGTGAGTCACGGAACAGGCAGCCTCTATTCTAGACTCGAAAAAAGGCAAACAAGCAGTTTCTCCCCCTAAAGCCTCCAGAAGAAACGCAAGCCGCTGGTCTAAAATCACACGTTGAGGCCCTTTCCCAAGAACTCACAGGATGGCGGAAGTGGAGCAAAAGAAAAGGCGGACCTTCCGCAGGTTCACCTACCTCGGCGTGGATCTCGTGGATCTCGATCAACTGCTTGACATGTCTGACGAGCAGCCGATGCAGCTGTACAGTGCCTGGCGGTGGCGGCAGCTGAACTGGGGTCTGCAAAGGAAGCAGCACTCGCTGCTGAAGCGCCTGCGCAAGGCCAAGAAGGAGGCTCCGCCCATAGGGAAGCCCGAGGTGATTAAGACACACCTGCAGGACATGATCATCCTGCCGGAGATGATCGGCAGCATGGTGGGCGTGTACCACGGCAACACCTTCAACCAGGTGGAAATCAAGCCCAAGATGATGGGCCACTACCTGGGTGAGTTCCCCATCACCTACAAGCCAGGGGAGCACGGCAGACCTGGCATCGGAGCCACCCACTCCTCCCGCTTCATCCCTCTCAAGTAGTTAATAAAAGCACAGACTTACCTAAAATAATAACAATAATAATAATAATACCACACCTTGATTTTAGACCAATGGTACCCATCCAGAATTGCAAGATAGTGATTTGTGTCATTCTAAACCACTGATGTCATGATCACATGTTATAGCAGCAATAGAAAATTCATACAGTGGGGTTTTAAATTATCCCTCTTACTATAGAGCCAAACTTCTCAGAGCAGTGACCTATGCAAGACCCAGGGGAGTAGGCCTTGCTGGAGCCTGAGAACCAGCACACAGATTTTCCTGTTTTCTCAAAGCAGCTGGGGTTGACCGACTGTGACCCTGATTCTTAAACAGCAGATACCGAGGTCTCTGGGCCCATTCCAGGAGATGTGCTATATTTTGCAACCAAATGAGAGGACTCACCAACTCTGCACATCTCCTCTTAAAACTTGCTTGTGTTTGAAAGCGTGCTTGCTTGCTCCTGGGATGTGGATAAGGGTCTGTGAGAGTTTACAGGAAAGCTTATTCACAAAAAAAGCTTAGTCACTTCACAAAAGTGTCCCCCAAAAAAGATAAAAGAAGGTGTGGCTCTTGCCCTGGCCTATGTGGCTCAGTTGGTTGGAGTGTCATCCAGTGCCCCGAAAGGTGGCAGGTTTGATTCCTGGTCAGGGCACATACTCGGGTTTTGGGTTCAGTCCCCATTTGGGGCATGTAAGGGAGGCATCTGATCGATATTTCTCTCTCCTTTCCTCTCTCTAATGTCAATAAAAAAACATATCCTCACATTAAGATTAAAAAAAAAAACTTAAAGAAGGATAATCTGTCCTACATGCGATGGTGAAAGGGACTAACCTGTCCATGCTTGGAAGTCTCCTGTGTTCTTAGACTGTGTTCTTAGACCAGTGGTTCTCAACCTTGGCTGCACATTAGAATCACCTGGGAATCTTTTTAAAATCCTGATTTCTGGGCCTCATCCTCCAGAAATTCTGTTTCTTTGTTACTAATGTTGTAGCCCCACCCCATAACAAAGAAACAGAATTTCTGGAGGATGAGGCCCAGAAATCAGGATTTTAAAAAGATTCCCAGGTGATTCTAATGTGCAGCCAAGGTTGAGAAACACTGTCTTAGACTGTAGGCACTGCCTTTCGCTGTCCCATTCATTGTCCAGTCTCTTGCCCCACCCCCACCCGGGTCAATCATCCCTAAAAGGTCATCCTATGCCAGTTCTTAAGCTTTGGGAGTCTTTGGTTGATTTTCACCATCAGGAAGAGGGTGGAAACTTGTGGGGTGAGATGCCTGACAGCATCTGATAAGTCTCAGCCCTATACTCCCCTTCTCCAGCCCGTTCTCTCCTCCCAGGGCAGAAAGCTGCAGACTACACTTCCCAGACCTGCCTTCCCCCTGGCTTCCAGTCAAGTGCTAGCAATGGAGGCCTGGCAGGAGCCGGGAAGATGAGAGAAAGGAGGAAGCCTTTTCTCTGTCACTTTGGCTGTGCTCTTGCCGAGGGGGCCACTGCAATGAAGAAGCGGCCATGGAGGCGGCAGTAGCTGTGGGCTGGTGCTGGCTTCTGGGTTTCTGCCAAGTCTGCCAACGCGGTTCTGACAACAGCACATTGTGCACTCTGAGTAATATTATTTTCTCCTTGTTCTCTCCCATCCGGAGGTGGCAGACGCTTCCGGCAGTTAATGATCTTTGAGAAATCTTACCTTTCCGATTTTTCTCCTCGACTTCTAACGCCTTTGCAACCCACTCCCTCTTTGAACACCTACGGCAGTTTCTGTTTTCCTGACTAAGATGCAGACTGATAAAACCTGAACTTTTCGCGTTTATTAGCAGGGAGTAAGTGAAACCCTTTATCTACTTCACTATCCTGGGTATAATGGATCTTATTTCATTGGGATCAAAGGAATCAAAGTAGGATCCTGCCCCAGAAAGGGGAGGTGGCTAGAATTTGGCAACACATGTCTAACCAGACTGGAAGCCACTGTTCCTTCTTAGATACTCATGGTCCTTCGGTTGCTTTGCCGAGGCATAGCCCCCGAGGTGAGGTTTCAAGCATTAGTGGCTTTCTATAGGAGTGCTACTAGGAGAGCCTTAAGAGACAAGGTCCCCTAACTGGTTTGGCTCAGTGGATAGAGCGTCGGCCTGCGGACTGAAGGGTCCCAGGTTCGATTCCAGTCATGGGCATGTACCTTGGTTGCAGTACATCCCCAGTAGGGGATGTGCAGGAGGCAGCTGATCGATGTTTCTCTCTCATCGATGTTTCTAACTCTCTATCCCTCTCCTTCCCTCTTTGTAAAAAATCAATACAATATTTTTTTTTATTTTTTTTAAAGAGAGAGAGGAGGTAAGCAGGAGCTGCAGGTAGAATCTCAGAGGCTACTCCAGCCTGAACCCCCGGGGCGCTCTGCAGTGTAATGTATGCCTTAGGGCTTTCATAATGATTGCACCCATTAGTCATTTCCTAAGTGCTGCAGGAAGAGGCCTTAACTCCAGCAATTTGACTGTCTCTGTAGCCTAAGAACAGGCCTCTAAAGAAGACTTGCCCGGTGTGAACCTTTGGGAACAAAAATACCCTGAAGCTGGGGGAAAGCACCCAGAAAAAAAGGTCAAAGGAGCCCGAGGGGATGTGGCCAGAGCACTGACTGGGCCCCTCTGATTGTGACTCTTCTTGTATCTGACTATGAAAAGACTCTCAGAGAGGGATGGCCAATGCTTCCCCTCTGCCTCCCAAATTTCCTGCCAGGTCCTCCCTCAGCCAACTCTAAGCAACAACCAGAGAGGGAAGGGGATTCTGGGAAATATAGTTTCCACCATAACCAAGATAATAATAGAACAATCCAGATACGGGATTAGGCCTGGCTGTTTCAATGAAGTGTCACAAAATCCCAGGCTTCCTTTTGCTACAAGGTCCACAGTCACTGTCAGTGAAAGGCCCAGCAGTACCAGGAAGAACGATCAACACAACTCCTCTGTGTGGCCCTTATAGTGTGTTCAATGAAATGGAAGGAGATGTTCTTCAGGTGGAGGATAGGGTTCCACGCAGCAGCCCAGCCCAGGTCCTGGCCCCAGCCCTGGAAGGGATTCAGCCAATTGTACAGCTCTCCACGTGGCAACCCAGTTCTGGTCCTCTCACCTTAGCACCCCCATCCTCAGCTTCCTGGAGCCTTTCATCTCAGTTTTTATGTGCTTATTTGGGAAATCAAAACTACTGCTCACAGATGATTTTTATTTGCTTTCATGCCAATTTAGAGGCCTTGTGGTGTTGCAGCTGAAGACATGGTCTTTGCAGCCAGATTTTCTGGTTTCAAGTATTGGGTCCATCACTTACTAGCTATATATCCTTAACCTAATTACTTAACCTCTCTGCCTCAATTTCCTCATTTGTAAAATAGTAATAGTGTCACCTCCTTTCTTATAGATTTTTTGAGAGGACTAAAGAAGTTTATAGGTGTCAGTCACTTAGAATTTGTATGAATAACAAACTCGTTGAACTTCAATGATGATAAGTCACCTTTATTTAATGATTATATCTTTTTCTTATCTAGTCTACTAACACATTACCCAGTAGGATTTGCTTTGAGACAAATTAGCACCATCATGTGCAAGAAAACATTAAAAGTGCACAATATATTCAAAACATTCTTATTTCTACTTGTCACTATTTCAGAATGGCCTCCCCCAAATTTAGAAGTTTTTATCATACATAGAATATTGTCTTACAATACAATCTTTAGGGAAATTTTTCTAATAAAAAAGTGTGATTATAGAAAGGTTAAAGGCTAAATATGAGACATTTGAAGTCTTATTCTATTAATAGCTGGCACATTTCACCAACTATTTGCATAAGGAGTGAGAGTATAGACCCATAAGGATTGTTTGCAAGTATTGGGTTTCATTTGAAAATCTCAGCCAGAATATAAATGTATCTTCTCTGAGACATATAAATAACCTAGAGTTCCTTGTGCTCAATCTCAAATAAGTACATGGCATTCTCTAATGATCCGGTATGATGAATCATCACTGGTCAAAATTCTCCCTCTGAAACACTCAGTGCTGGTGGGATTACATACTTGGTACAACCCCTTTAGAGGGCAATTTGGAAATGTCTGTCAACACTTTCGGTGCTTAAACCCAGTAGTCTGCTGTTAAGTGTTCATCCTACATAATAAAAGGGTAATGTGCAAATTGACCCTAACGGCAGAATGACCAGAATGATCGCTCGATCAGTCACTATTAGGTGCACTGACCATCTCTCTGTCCCTTTCCTTGGCCGGCAGGCTCCCATTGCCCAGTGGCGAATGGGGAACCAGGGGTGGGTGGTGGGGAATGTGGGTGGTACCAGGCCAAGGCCCCTGCCCTGCCGTTTGCCCCACACACAGAGGGCGGCCCACGGCTGGGGCAGGGCTGGCGAGAGGGCAGGAATGGCCAACCTCTCGGTTCATCCCCCCCACCGGCAGGCTCTGATTGCCTGATGTCAAACAGGGAACTGGGGGTGGGTGGCAGCGGGGGGAGTCGGGCCAGCTGCCAGCAGCAGGAGAAGATGGCCCTGATCGCAGGCCAGGCCTAGGGACTGTATCCACACAAGATTTTGTGCGCTGGGCCTCTAGTTATACAATAAAGAATTTAAATGATCTTTGTCCCAGGTTTCTGGGACAACCTCTACTAGTAAACACTTAGAATTTCCTGAATGATAGAAGTCCTTTGTTTTCCATGGTGGGCTCCTGGGATCACACCTGAGTTTCTTAATGAAGTAACTCATGATGGACTCCTAGAAAGTTTTAAAATGGGGGTAGGCCAAGCCAGAAAAACCAACCTTATGATTAGAGTGTTGGGGCTCTGGCCACCTGATACCAGCCCAACCTCCTGACCTCCGGGGAAGGTATAGAGCTGGAGATTGAGTTCAATTACATGGCCAGTGATTCAATCAACCATGCCTACAGAATGTCTACACTTGAAGCTCCAATGGGCTTCCTGGTTGGTGAACACATTGGTATGCCATAAAGATGATGTGTCCT